TGAGGCAGGGTCTCGCTATGAAGTTCAGGCTGGCCTTGAGCTCACGTTGTATCACAGGCTGGTCTGGAACTCACAGTGATCCTCCTGCCTCTGCCTCCTAAATGCTCGGATTATAGGCATGTGACACCACATCCTGCCAAGTACAAATTTTTCTGAAGCTGCTGCCAAAATGTTTAGTTATATTTCACTAATTAGTGCAGAAATGAAGGGTGATGATGTTTAGCTTTAACATATTGTGAGATAATCCGGATTCTACTCCTCACTAACCACAGAATTTTAGAACTAGAAAGTTCTTACACAGTACTCAATCCAGTCTTCCCATTTTGTGAAAAAATATAGGTCAACCAGATCACAAAACTGTTCACAAAATAGTTAAGGTTGCCAGGCATGGTGGCACATGCCTGTAATCCCAGTACTTGGAAGGCTGAAGCAGGAGGATCACTTTGAGTTCCAGGCCAACCTGGGTAACAAAGTGAGTCCAAGACCAGGCTGAACTGCCTAGTGAACCCATCTCAAGAAGACCAAAAATAAATAAATAAATAAATGTTAAGGTCAGGATGCAATAAGTATGTTTACTTACTCGTATCTTCAACAGATTATATAAACTTCATTAGCACCATTTTTTTCGAGGCTGTGTCATGGTCTTGTTTCAAGTGGTTTCCTCCTAAAACTTATGCATATGAAACAACACGAAAGCACATGCCTAGTCTGACACTAGATCGAACAGAATCAAAGGTCCAAAAACCTTTAAGCGTCACAGCTCATTAAAACAAGATGAAAGGTAAGCGCCTCCCAAAATATTCTTTGCTATGTATTAAATAAAATGCGTGGTTTTAGCGAGATGTGGCGGCACACGTCCTTAATACCAGGTAGTACAAACAGTATTCCCGAGGCTGGGAAGATTGCAGCAAGTGGAGAACCAGCTTGGGCTACATAGGGACAGCCTGTCTCAAAACACTGAAGTAAAACAAATGCACGGTCCTACAGAGATGAAAGGCTGGTACACCTATCACGGCAATGACATGGTGAAATCACCTAAATGGAAGTGGGAGTTTCATATGTAAATGGTAAAACAGCGTCAAGTGAGATCCACGGATCGTAGAGTTGGTGGCTACAGACGTTGCTAAGTCTACGGCGGAGGATACAGGTGAGCGTGACCGGGACAGGAAACGGTCCCTTCCCGCCCGCTACTCACCTTCACCGACCCAGGAGAGGGTCGCCGCGACAGTCGCCCCCATGCTGCGCTCTGCGCACGCGCGGGGCTCGCCCTTCCGGTGCCCGGGCTGGGTCTCGGCTGGGCTGGACCAAGGCTGCGCCACGAGGGGGAGCGCTCGAGATGCGGCGGCCTTACCAGGGATAATGATAATCTCGTTGAACTGCGGGCTTTTACCAGGAGGACACAAGAAAGCCGTGTGAGGAGGCTCTGCCCGGCACGGAGCGACCAGCTCCATTTCCTCCCCCTCCCTGAGGGCAGGTGGCTCGGGTGGGACTGGGAGTTGTGGGAAGTGTAGTCCGCCGACAGGTGCGGCGCTGCGCCTCTCCTGCAGGAGCCGGGCTCAAGAGGTGCAGAGCCCTCTCCTGCAATCCCAGCTCTCCGGAGGCTGTGGCAGGAGGCTATCCGCTAGGAGGCCGCCCTGAACTACTAGGGGAGAACCTGTCTCAAAATAAATAAATAAATAAAATTAATTAAAAATTGATACAGATGGTCCTGGTGAGATAGCTCAGCAGTCTAAAGCGCCTGCTTAGGCAAGCTTAGGCAAAGGGAAGGGCCTGGGTTCGATCCCTGGCACCACATGTTGTGCCAGCCCCTCCTGGTCTGAGCTGCCCCACAAAAAAAAAATTGATACAGTGGCACAAGGGCATGGTCGGATCAGATTTAAGGCTCCTGAAGTCTGCAATTTGCAAGACAATGGATTTTCATCATCTGTTTTGAAAAGAAGAAAATGAGACGTTTGTTAGCCTTTTCAGGTTTGTAGGAGGGGATACCAGCGCACTTACAGCAGTGCTCTTGACTGAGATCACAAAACTTCTCAACACCTACCTCAGAAACCTGGTTTTTACTGAGACACGGTCTCACTATGTAGTTCAGGCCGACCTTGAAGTCCTAAAGTAGCCCAAGCTGGGCTCAAACTCGAGGTGATCGTTCTGCCGCAGATCTCTCAAGTTCTGGTAGTACAGGCATGCTGTGCTATGCCTGGCTTCACAAATCTTTTTTATTTTTCTTTTATTTATTTATTTTTTATTTTTTTATTTTTTGCAGAACCGGGGATTGAACTCAGACCCTTGCGCTTGCCAGGGAAGCGTTTATTCTACTGAGCCATCTCCCCAGCCCCAGCCTTCACTAATCTTTAATTTTAAGGTATTAGGGGTCAAGTCCAGGTCCCTGTGCTTGATCTATCACTGAGCTAACTGTCCCATCTCTTAATTTAGCATGCATTTGGTGAATAGCTTGCATGACCAGGCACTGGTAAGAGCTTGGAGACAGATCAGAGAAGAGAAGCTAGAGGAGTCTTTCTGCTTCAGTTTCACCATTGGCTAAATTAAACATCTGCCTCTGTCTCTCTCTGTCCTTCTGTCATGCTGTACAGAGAGTAACTTTTTGTTTGTGTTTGAAGAAAAAGGCACGGTACCACAAAAAAAAAGAAGAAGGCAGAGACTTGGGAATTTTCAGACCTGGTGTAAAAAACCTTTTTCTTCCATTTCCTGTATGCTTTAGGCAAGATACTTGTTTGCCCATTGGTAAAATCAGGGTATCAATAGATAGTAAATTACATGTTTAACCATTTGCCAGACCCATTACCAAGTGCTTTATGTATGTTCTTAAAATCCTTACAAACAGCCCTGTGAGGTAAATGCTATATTTCCCCATTTACGTGTGGTGAAATAATAACTGTGTTGAACTCACTGTTACATTTGTTTTTGGGTTTCGCTTTGGTAAAAAATTACATAATGTTTGTAAATCAGTTGGTGCAGACTTGGCACATGAAGCCGTACTTTTTTTTTCCATTGTACCTTCCAAAGGAAGCCAGAAATGGACACTAGTGTCTCTAAGATTCTGAGCTATAATAAATAGAATCTTTTCTGAAGTAAAGGGCCCTTTGAGCTACAAAGTAGAAACAGCTAAGCCTGGCTTCGATCATGTTTATTCCATAATTTTTGGTGGGGACACATCCCAAGAAATATGGTGATTTCCTCTTTGCTCAAATGCAAGATATTTAGGTCAGTCACATGGCAAGATAAATAGGTCAGTCACATGGCAGCTACAGTAAACTCAGATAGATGAGGGCGCTGCCTGTGGGAGGTGGCATTCAGATGCACGTGCAAACTGTTTAAAAACTTTTTTTTTTTGATAAATAAGGGGGTATCCTCTAGAGCCATGATATCAAGGATAGCATGGTGAGAAGAATGTATGCAGTGTATTATTTGTTGAAACTGTACTTTCGATTTGATTTGAAACTGTCTCATTGCTATATGTTTATCAATAAAACTTTGAAAAGAAAAAAAAAAAGGATAGCATGGTAAATATGTATAACACTCATTCTGTGATCAAGTCTTTCATAGTGTGTGTGATCACCTGTGCTGTATGTTTATAGAGCTGGCAGAACAGTAAGTTTGTTTCCACCAGCATCACTGGGCTGTCCTGTGACAACTGCAGCAATGTCAGTAGCTGATGGAGTTTTCAGCTGTAGTTCAATCTTATGCAGTCCATTGTTGCCCGTTTCTGCATGGGAAGTGTGGAGATAGGTATTGCAAGTACTGGTTCAAATATCAAGAGTTGACAGGCTTGCCTTATTATTCTCTGCCACCCTGTCTGTCATTTTCACTAATTTAAAAATTAATTGCGGGCCCATGAGATAGCTCAGTGGACTAAGCACCTGCTTTGGGAAGCTCAAGGATCAGGTTTCAATTCCTGGTCCCTTGGATGGGCCAAATAGCTCAGTGGATTAAAGCACCTACAAGCAGATGCAGGGGCCAGGGGTAGGATCCCCGGGTCTGCGGGACATTTGAGACAGAGTGTGGTGACACTCACCTGTAATCCCAGCCTCTTGGGAGGCTGTAAACAGGCAGATCACTGCAAGTCTGATCTAGTAGTAAGACCCTGAACACTCTGTAGACCCTTCCCTAAAATTAAAAAATAAAACATAAAAAAGATAAACAATTCCTGGTCCCACATCCCATGCTGGCCCCAGCCCCGGTACATGCTGAGTGAATGAGTCCGGTGTGGTGGCGCACACCTGTAATCCCAGCATTGGAGAGGCTGTAAACAGGAGGATCACTATGAGTCTGGGCTGCATAGTGAGACCCTTTACCAAATGCATATAAATAAATAAATGTATGTTAATTGTGTACTTTGTGTCCCTTTACCCCACTCCCCCCAAACTATCTCCTCAAAAAAATTCTCTTTTGTTTGTTTTATTTTGCGAAAGGGAGTCACTATGCAGCACAGGGTGGTCTTGAAGTCACTATGTAACTCAGGCTGGCCTTGAACTCATGATAGTCCTCCTGCCTCAGCATCCTGAGTGCCTCTCTCTCTCTCTCTCTCTCTCTCTCTCTCTCTCTCTCTCTGTGTGTGTGTGTCTCTCTCTTTACCCTACTGCTAAGCTATAGCCTTCACCTTCCTAGTCTAGTGTTCTGATTTCACTAATTGTTCTAATGACACCTTTGGAAGCAACGTCTGGACTCCTCCATCAGCAGGTCCAGTGGGTGATAAAGCATTTTGGCACAGCTCAGTTATGGGCAGCAAGAGCCCATCATCTGAAAAGGAAACATTTGAGGTACCATCGGTTGACCCCAGGACCGAGGTGCTAAGCTTCCTCCCTACCCCTTTTTATCTTTTGAGAGATGTCACAGCTGAGTCACTGTGTCACAGAATTTATGGCCTTCCTGCCTCTGCCTAGAGTGCTGGGGTTACAGGTGTGCATCACTCTGCAAAGCTCAGGAATCATACTTTTGGGGCTAGGGAGATGGGTCAGTGGAATAGGCGCTTCCCTGGCAAGCGCAAGGGCCTGAGTTCAATCCCCGGTTCCAGCAAAAAAAAAAAAAGAATCATACTTTTAGAGGCTGAGGCTGGAGGATCTCAAGATTGAGGCGGGCCTGGGCAATTTAGTGACTTAGCGAGCAGGAGGAAAAGCGGTGCTGCAAAGGTGTCTCCATTTCTCTTTGGGCTTCCAGGTGGCTTATAATTTCACATGTTAATTAATGACTAAGTAAAGCAAGTATAAGTTCTGTTTTACATGTTTTATTTATTTTTCTTTTATTTGCTGGTTCAGTGATAACTGCAGAGAAGCTGACTTGTTGCCAGCAAAAATTTTTTTAAAGTATAACAATTTATTATTTCTTCCTCAAGAGAGTTTTCTTCAGTCCATTAAGCCCCAGCTCCCCTTCCATGGGCTTTGGTGGAGGTCGTGGGGCAGCACCCGCAAGTCTAAGTTGGGGTGGAGTTCGGTCCTTGCAGGCTTCACGAGATCGATTTCTGACCACTTTGCTGTGAATGGCACAACTCACGCAGTAATGCAGCTCCACATACAGCTTGGGAAGCACATAACCATCGAAGACACTTGTTTCGGAAATGTCCCTGATGGTGGTGGCCTCCACTATGTTCTGAATGACAAACTTCTTCTTTTTTTTTTTTTTTTTTGCAGAACCAGGGATTGAACTCAGGCTCTTGGGCTTGACAGGTAAGCGCTTATTCTACTGAGCCATCTCCCTGGCCCCCGAATGACAAACTTCTTAATGGCCTTATCCTTGGTACACACCGGGCGCAGTTCTGCAGCGAGTAGGCTGCACATGACCGCAGCCTTTTTTGGCAGGACTGTTGTTCCTTCTTTTTTTTTATCATCTTGGAAAAAAGGACCCGAAAGAGTGCCAGCAAATATTATGGTATCATAGTAACCAAAATCTTCACTTTCTGTGAACTGAATTCATCATGCAGCCTAAAAGCACATATTATCCATCAGTGCTTGCAAATCGGGTCTCCTGCTGCCACAATTCCTAGAAACACATAAATATGCTGCCTTCTCTGGATTCCACTTCCTTTTCCATTCTAAGAGGTGCGATAAAAACCACAGTGCATGTTTAAATTAAAAATAAATGTCAGGGCTGGTGAGATGACTCAGTGGTCTAAAGCACCTACTTAGAATAAGCTTAGCAAATCCCAGTGACCGCGGTTTGATCCCCCAGCACCACATGCCAGCCAGCCCCGCCCCCTGGTGGGCTGAGCTGGCCACACACACACACACACACACACACACACATAAATAAATAAAATTTAAAAAAAAACTGTCAAACTGGGTGTGGTGACACATGTCTGTGATCCCAGCACTGGGGAGGCTGAGATAGGAGGATCATTGTGAATTTGAGACCAGTCTAGGATACAAAGTGAGCTTAAGGCCAACCTGAACTGCACAGTGACACCCTGCCTAATAAATAAATTAATTAATTAAAAAAAATAATAATAATTTGTTAGA